TTTCCCCTTGCACCGGAAGGCCGACGTGCCTACCGTCCTCGAGCCGTGGCTGCTAGCGTGGGGTGGTGCCCAGGGCCTGTGTGGGCCTCGCCTACACCCGGACCGTGGTGGTGAGTTTTCTTCCACTCGTTTGGAGACGTTCTGTCAGGGTCGGGGAGTCATTCAGTCGTACACGCTACCAGCCTCGCCGCAACAGAACGGGGTAGCCGAGCGTCGCATCGGCCTGGTCATGGAGGTTGCCCAGACCTCCATGTGCCATGCCGGTGCCCCTCAATTCTTGTGGCCTCAGGCGGTCCGCTACGCCGCGCACTAGCTGAATCTGTGGCCCAGTGACGCACGGCCACGGGTGACGCCGGTCTCTCTCTGGTCAGGTTTACAGGGTGTAGCAGCTGACTTCCGTGTCTGGGGTTGTTTAGCTCACGTTCGCACCCCTGGCGCGAACAAGTTGTCTCCGCGCACTCGTGCCTACGTCTTTCTTGGCTTTCCTTTGGACGCCTCCGGCTGGGTGTTCTATGACCCGGTGACCTGCGGGTTCTTCGCTTCTCAGGACATCACGTTTGACGAGTCTGTCTGTTACTACAGGAGTCGCCCCCACCGAGGTACTGAGGTCTTTTCCCCCCAGCTGTTCCTCACCCTTGAGCCTCCCCCAGTCGCCCCGGTAGCCCCCCCTCCTTCGTGTCCTGCCCCGTCAGGTGTGTCGCACGTCACTCCGCAGTCGTCCCCCCCGCAACGTCCTGTCTCTGTCGTGTTTGGGGGTGCGGGAGGTGCAGTTGCAGAGGGTGAGGGTACTGGGGCTGCAGGAGCTGGTGGTGTCGGCCCTAGGGGTGCAGGGGTTGTGGGAGTGGAGGTCACTTCTGTGGAGGACACGGCAGCCTCGAGTCGGAGGCCTCGCCCCGCCTCACCCCCTGGCTTCCCATCCGTCCCGCAATTTCCCCCTCGTTCTTCTGTGCCGCCGGTTGCTGCGGAGCCTGGGGGTGTTCGTGCGGGAGGTACTGGAGGCCCCAGGGGTGTCGGTGGTGGAGGTGCTGGTTCTGGGGGTGTTATAGCTGGAGGCACTGGCACTGTGGCGCCTACACCGCGCACTGTACGTTTCGTGACCCGTGAGCAGCGTCTCCTTCGGCTGGAGAGGGAGGAGCGTGAGCAGTTTGAGAGGACACAGCAGCAACAGCAGCAGCAGCAGGAGAGATTAGAGGAGGAGTCATAGCCGCAGCAGGAGAGGGCCGAGGAGGAGTCACGGCCACACAAGGAGAGGGTAGAGCAGGAGTCCCGCCCGCAGCAGCAGGTGCAGTTACAGACACACCAGGAGAGAGTAGAGGAGCAGTCCCGGCCGTACCAGGAGAGGGTAGAGCAGGAGTCCCACCCGCAGCAGCAGGTACAGTTACACACCCAGCAGGAGAGAGTAGCGGAGCAGTCATCGCCGCAGCAAGAGAGGGTAGCGCAGGAGTCCCACCCGCAGCAGCAGGTACAGTTGCAAATCCAGCAAGAGAGAGTAGAGGAGGAGTCACGGCCGCAGCAGGAGAGGGTAGTGCAGGAGTCCCATTTGCAATAGCGGGTGCACCTGCAGTCGTAGCAGGAGAGGGCAGAGGCGGAGCCACAGGTGCAGCAGCAGGGGCCGGTGCCGTCTCAGCAGACGCCAGAGGAGGCGGAGCAGCACCGACTGCAACTACAGGACCTCCTCGAACCAGCACCTGCACGCTTTGTTCGTGGTCCCCTACCGTCCCCTCCTGTTCCCCTTGTTGAGTCCCTTTCCTCGTCCCAGTGGACTCGTCATTCTCCCCTCAGTCATGCTATGTCCCCATAGCGTCGTCGGTCCCGTTACCGTGCAGACGGTCCGTTCCACCTTGTTCTTCCCTCCCGTGTTCTACCTCCTCCTGTCCTTCCACAGCCCCTGGATTCGTTCCTCACTGTGCTTCACGACCTGTTGTCCGACTACCTCGGTGCCTCACGTCTTGTCATCTCCCGTGTTTTGTCCGCGTTGGTCACTCACCTGATTGCACCTCTGTCGTGTGTTTCAACACTGGTTACCACTATCGCTTGCTTTGCCTCTTCCCACCACCTTGACTACTCCGCTCAATTGGTGAGTGGCCCTGCTCGTTCTACGTTCTTTGGGGGTGCTCTTGTTTTTCCCTTAAAGGTCCTCAAGGACAAGCAGTTCGAGCTTGGTTTTCTTGCGGCCGCTGTTCCTCCTCTTTGCGCCAAGTTGCTTGCCCCTAAGGGGGATCCAGACGCTCTTGACATCCCGATCCCTCGCACTCACGCCGAGGCGGTCTCGGGAACCTGGGCTTCATACTAGATAGCAGCTGAGGAGGTAGAGATGGCATCTTATAGGTCCACAGGCACTTACGTCGACGCAGTCCCACCACCTGGGACGAACGTCGTCAGTGGCCGATGGCTCTACAAGGTGAAGCGGCCGCCTGGATCACCACCTGTGTTCAAGGCGCGCTGTGTGGCGAGAGGCTTCAGTTAGCGAGAGGGGGTGGACTTCTTCCAGACCTTTGCTCACACTCCGAAGATGAGTACTCTTTGGGTGTTGCTGCATATTTCAGCACAGCCCGACTACGAGTTGCACTCCTTGGACTTTTCCACCGCGTTCCTTCAGGGGAGCCTGCACGAGCAGATCTGGCGGCGTTGCCCGCCTGGCTTCACTGGCTCTTTTCCACCTGGGACCCAGTGGCAGCTGCGTCGACCAGTCTACGGCCTGCGTCAGGCTCCACGTGAGTGGCACGACACACTTTGCTTGACCCTTGCAGCGCTTGACTTCTTTCCGTCGTCTGCTGACCCGTCACTGTTCGTTCGTCGTGGCTCAACCCCGTTCTTTGTCCTGGTCTACGTCGACGACCTGGTGTTCGCCACTCTCGACCAACGCGCGCTGGCCTCCGTGAAGGAGGAACTCCAGAGAAGACACACTTGCACTGACCTTGGTGAGCTGCAGCACTACCTTGGCCTGCAGATCACCAGGGACAGGGCAGCTCGCACCATTACGCTAACTCAGTCGCATATGGTCGAGCAGATCCTCCCGCGGTTTCGCTTCCCGTTCTCCAAGGTACAACTCACCCCTTTTGGTGTGGATCATGGGCTCACGGCTCCACCTTCAGACGAGCCATTTGATTCTAGCGGTCCATACCCTGAGCTGGTGGGTTGTCTCATGTACCTGATGACTTGTACTCGCCCAGACCTAGCTTACCCTCTTAGCGTCCTTGCGCGTTTTGTTGCGCCTAGAAGACACCGACTTTCCCACTGGTACGCAGCTAAGAGGGTGGCGAAGTATGTGGCGAGTACATCAAGCATGGGACTTGTCCTTGGAGGGAAGTAGCCAGTTACACTCACAGGTTACTTGGACTCGTCGTGGGCCGACGACGCGGAGACGCGTCGGTCTACACAGGGGTACTCCTTTAGCCTCGGAGCAGGTGCTGTTTCGTGGCGGTCGACTCGGGCGTCGTCTCTCGCCGGTTCCAGCAGTGAGGTAGAGGTGTACGCTGCGGCCATGGCCGGTCAGGAGCTTCGCTGGCTATCTTTCCTTCTCACCGACTTTGGTGAGCGGCCTCGCTCTCCCCCAGTCTTGTTCGCCGACAACAGGTCTGTTGTCCTGTTGTGTGAGGAGCCTTGATTGGTTCGGAAGGCGAAGCACATCCAGCTTCGTTACTTCCTTCTGCGTGAGTTGCAGCAGCGTGGCCAGGCACGCGTGGTACGTGTGGTCTCCGAGGCCAACACTATATATATCTTCACCAAGGCGCTGCCGCCTTGTGACCACCAGCATTTCTGCACCCAGCTTCGCCTTGTGTCTACAGGCCCTCACTTGCTTGTTTAGAGATGCTTTGCTTTGTACTTTGGCATCTCTTTATATTTGCTATATACATATATATATCCATCTAGACTGGCCTTGTGGCCCTGTGCTTCTGTAGAGATGCTTGTCATGTGCTCTTGCATCTTCTATATTTGCTATATCCTTGCATGTGGACTGGCCTTGTGGCCCCTCGCTTGTTCTCGGACTGTGTGGTGATCTTGAGATCCACCCCGAGGTTTGACCCTTGCTGTGTGTTGCTTTCCATAGGACTACCGTCACCTAGACTATGGGGGTGTGTCAAGCTATATTTGTTGTAGCTTATTTGTGTTAGTCTAAGTGTACATGTTTTCCTAGGGTTAGGGTTATGCTTGCTATATCTTGCCTATTTTCACTTTCCTTAGTAAACTTATACTTTTGTAACTTGACACCCCTTAGTGGCCTGCCCCTTCACGGCCCCTTAGTGGCCCCTTCACGACCCCCTTAGCGGCCCCTTCGCAACCCCCTTCACGGCCCCTTTAGCGGCTCCTTCGCGGCCCCTTCGCGGCCCTTTTGCAACCCCTTAGCAGCCCCTCACGACCCCTCTTAAGCCCTTCGCGGCCCCCTTCGCGGCCCTTCGCGGCCCCCTTCGCGGCCCTTTGCGGCCCCCTCACGACGCTTCGCGGCCCCTTCGCGACCCTTCGCGGCCCCCTCTCGGCTCTTCACGGCCCCTTTCTGGCCCTTCGCGGCCCCCCTCTCGGGCCTTCGCGGCCCCTTCGCGGCCCCTCCGCGGCCCTTCGCGGCCCCTTCGAGGCCCCTTGGCAGTGCTTTCGCGGCCCCCGCCTTCGCGCCCCCCACCTTCGCGGCTCTTCGCGGCCCGTTGTAGCCGCCCTGCCGCCTCATCGACGCCGCCCCAGCAGCAGCTGGCATCGCCCCTGCTGCCGCCGTAGCGGCCCCGCTGCCCCATCGTCCGTGTTCCTGTAGCAGCGGCCGTCCCTGCAGCAGCTGCCGTCACCGTCCCTGCTGCCCCGGCCCTGACCTGCAGCCGAGCCGCAGCCCTGCCCTTCTGCCCAGTTACTGCCCCAACCCCTCCGGCGCACCTCGGCTCTGCCACTCCGGTCGCGGCCACCCTACCCACTCGCCACTGGTAAGCGCCCTGCCAAGCCGCGCCCCTTTAGCCGAGTCGCGCTGCCGCTGCTACTGCTAGCCTGCTGCTGCTGCTATCATGGCTAGTCCCAATATGCTTACCTTTGATGCTGAGGGTCGAGCTGTCGACTTTGAGGTCTGGGTCGATGTTCTGCAGCTTTTCCTACAGTCTGATCGCAAAGACGGTCTTTCACAGTTCGATTTCACGTCTGGCGCCTCTGCGGCCCCTGCTGCCAATGCTGAAAGTACTTTTCCCTCACAGTGGACCACACGCGATGCTGCTCCTCGTCTTGCTGTGCGTAGTCACCTGCCGTCCACTGAGCACGCGCACTTTAGTCAATACAAGAGTGCTAAGACCTTGTACAACGCTGTTGTTGCACGCTACTCTTCCCTTGCCACTGCTGCCCTTAGTTGCCTCATGATGCCGTACCTGTTCCCTGACCTCGGCGCCTTTCCCACAGTCGCTGACCTCAGTACGCACCTCCGCACCAGTGAGACACGCTACCGCGCTGCGCCAAGAAGCCCCCCCCCATGTACATCACCCTCTACTACCTAGTCACCCGGCTCCCTAACTCCCTTCGCTCGGTCAGGGACCACTTCCTCTCTGTTTGCCCCACCACACTCACCGTTGACCTCCTCGAGGAGCACCTCCTTGCACCTGAGAAGAGTATAGTTGCTGTAAAAGCCTCTTGTGGTGACCCTCGTGCCCCCTTCTATGAGGGGTGCTCCCCCGCTCCGCTTTTGCCCTATGTTGCCTCTTCTGCTGCTGTCGACCTCGTTGGCACCGAGTCGGTCGGTGCTGCGTCTGCCCATAGCGGGAGACGCCGCAACGACAAGGACAAGGGGGGCAAGGGCGCTGAGGAGCTGGCGGGGGCGGTGGTGGTGGCGGTGGAGGCGGCGGAGGGGGTGGGGTTGGCGGTGGGAGTGGTGGCGGGGGTGGAGGCTTCGGTGGCGGCGGTGGAGGCGGAGGTGGCAGCGGCGGTGGCGGTGGGAGCGGAGATGGCGGCGGTGGCAGCAGTGGGAGCAGCGGCGGTGGAGCTTGTCGGGGTGGCTCTGTGCAGCGGGGAGGCTTCAGTGGTGGTCAGCGCCAATAGCAGCACGCTCGTGAGACCCCGCCACCCCAGCAGCTTCGTGAGTGGTACGCTGCGCATCAGCGGGGTGGGGGTGCTGGTCCTTGTGCCTATGTACTGCATACTAGCGACTGCACTGGTGAGCCGTGCGGCGGCCCGCACGCCACCCAGCGCTGCTTCGGCCGCCTGACGGACGCCTGACATCTCCAGTTCCCTGACGCCACTGAGATCCTATCAAAATAGGTAGTTAAGTTTAGAACCATGGCAGCTAGGAGGTGGAGAGTCGAGAGAGTTTAGCAAGCCAAAAGAGGGCTTCACTAATGAGAATAGCAAGTACAAATAGTAAACAGCAACACAAGGAGGTGCACCACCAAACATGATGCAATATCTACACTACAACTGCAAACGATTATAGAAAATATGTAAACATATTTCGACACGCCCCCATAATTGATTGCAGGAGTAAGTGTAAAACGCCCCCTGACGGGGTGCACCAGGAGTGCAGCGGAAGAAGCAGAAGCAAGCAAGAGCAGTAGTAGCCGGTGCAGGAGTGGCAAATACAGCAGTAGCACGCCCTCAGCCAAGGCAGAAGCAGTAGCAGATGTAGGGGCGGCAGGTCGCCTGAGGAGCAGGCTCTGTGGCTGCAACGTGCAGCAGGACAGCAGCGGCTCGACGGCAGCACCTGCAGGCCCCAACAGCAGACAAGAGAAACAAGGACAGGTGAGGCAGGGGCGGCAGCAGGAGGTGCCACGGTAGCAGCGGGTGGCAGCTGCAGATGCTTGTCTGTTTTCCCGCCACCCTCTCTTACCCTCCCCCCCACAGCAGCACAAGCGGCAGTGAGAGAGAGAGGAGGGGCGGCTGCTGGCTCTGCAGAATCTCTCTCGCCATCCTCACACACTCCCCCCGTTTCCCCTCACCCTCCCCCCCCCCCCACGGCGGAATCCACGGAAGGGAGGGGGGGCGTGGGCTGTCGATGGCGCTGGCGTCCGCGCTGGCGCTGGGCGCTGGTGTCCGCGCTGGCGTCGGTCGCTGGCGTCGGGCGCTGGCGTCCGCGCTGGCGCTGGCGACCGCCGTTGGGACTGGGAGCTGGTGTCGGCGCTGGCGCTGGCCTCCGCCGTTGGCGCTGGCGCTGACGTACGCCGTCGGCGCTGGCGCTGTCGTCGGCTCTGGCGCTGGCGATGGCGTCGGCGTCGGCGCTGGTCGCTGGCGCTGGGCGCTGGCGCTGGGAGCTGGCGCTCGCGCTCCCGCTGGTGACTGTCGCTGGCGCATTCGCGAACGCGCTGGCGGGTCGCTGGCGCTCGCCATGATGTCCGCCGCGACCGTCGCCCTGAGCGCCGCGAAGAGGCAGGCGAATTGAAGGCGACGGGGGGCAGCGCGACGCGTTTAGCATAAGCTCCGGAAACAGCAGCAGATTTCGCGCAAGCAGCATAGTGGGCCGCCATGGCAGAAGGCGGAGTTAGTGGGCCCATGTAGAATAGGTCCTAGAAAAGACCACACTCTGATAACATATCAAAATAGGTAGTTAAGTTTAGAACCATGGCAGCTAGGAGGTGGAGAGTCGAGAGAGTTTAGCAAGCCAAAAGAGGGCTTCACTAATGAGAATAGCAAGTACAAATAGTAAACAGCAACACAAGGAGGTGCACCACCAAACATGATGCAATATCTACACTACAACTGCAAACGATTATAGAAAATATGTAAACATATTTCGACAGATCCCTCACTGGGGCGAGCTGCTTAGGTCCGGGGTTGCTTGAGCTTGATTATGATGCTATTCTTGCTGCCATGTATGTTGTGTCTACTAGTGATGAGGGTGACTGTTACCTGTGTGTCCCGCCTGACCCGTGCATTGAGGCTGCTGCTCTACGTGCTAGTGAGTCGGCTGCTCCAGGTGTTGGTTAGTCTGCTGCACCAGGTAATGGTGAGTCTGCTCTCTCAGGTACCACGTCGGCTCAGGTTTTGCACACCTTCACCCTTGACTCAGGTGCTTCCCGCTCCTTCTTTCGAGACCGCACCACACTCACGCCGCTTAGTCCTTGCCCACATCTCCACTGTCCTACCGTGTCCGACGGCCCTTTCCGGCACCCTGTCAGGTCTTTACCTCCCCTCTTTCTCTACGAACTTGGTGAGTGGTGCTGACCTACAGAATGGGGGGGTTGACCTGTTCACTCCTGCGAGTCAGCGAAGGACCCACTGTACGTGTGCTCGGACGGGCCGATACGTGGCCACGTTTACCCGTCAGCCGGGGTCGAGCCTGTACACACTGACTACCGAGTCTCCTCTGGTTCCTACGTCTGGTCAGGTAGCTACATCGGGTCGGGTGTTTGCTGCAGCGTGCAGGTCCGGTCCTGAGTCTGCCCCCTGCTCGTGTCGTCTCCTGTCCCACTTGACTCTCCTTTGGCACCACCGCCTTGGTCACCCCTCCCTGCCTCGTCTCCGAGGCATGGCCTCCCGTGTCCTTGTCTCTGGTCTCCCCCGGTCCCTCCCTCCCCTTCCCCCGGGGCCTGCCCCTACCTGCGTTCCCTGCGTCGAGGGGCGGCAGCGCGCCGCTCCTCACTCCTCCGAGTTTCCTCCAACAGAGGCTCCGCTGCAGACGCTTCACATGGACGTGTGGGGCCCAGCCCACGTCCGTGGACAGGGTCACGAGCGTTACTTCCTATTGGTGGTTGACGACTACTTGTGTTACACCACAGTCTTCCCCTTGCGCAGCAAGGGTGAGGTCCATGAGGTGTTGATCGACGGGATCCGCGCTGCCCGTCTCCAGCTCAGAGAGATTTTTGGCTCGGAGTTTCCTGTTCTGCGTCTGCACTCCGACAGAGGTGGAGAGTTTTCCTCCGACATTTTGCAAGCCTTCTGTCGTGCCCGAGGCATCCGCCAAACGTTCACGCTTCCGGCCTCTCCACAGAAAAATGGGATTGCTGAGCGCCGCATTGGCATGGTCATGGACGTCGCTCGTACGTCCATGATCCATGCGGCTGCTCCCCATTTTCTGTGGCCGTTCGCGGTTCAGTACACGGCACATCAGATCAACCTTCAGCCCCGGGTATCCTTGCGGGAGACCTCCCCTACTCTGCGGTGGACGGGGAAGGTTGGCGATGTGTCTGCGTTCCGTGTCTTTGGATCTCGAGCTTTTGTCCGCGACTTGTCTGCGGACAAGCTGTCCCCCCGTGCTGTTCCCTGTGTCTTCCTTGGCTTCCCCCTCACGCGCCTAGTTGGCAGTTTTACCTCCCCACCTCGCGCTGTGTTCTGTCCTCCTAGGAATTTCACGTTTGACGAGTCGGTTCCTTACTACCGTCTCTTCCCCTACCGCAGTGCACCCCTCCCCCCCCCGCCGCTCGTCCTCGCGCCAGTTCCCCCCCCGGTAGATCCACTTCCCTCTCAGGGTCCTATCCCCTCAGGTTTGTCCAAGGTAGACGCAGTCGAGCCTGTCGAGGTAGCTGTTGACTCTGGTGCTGCTAGGGGTGCTGAGCCTGCGGGTACGGGGTCTGGGGGTGCTGAGCTCGAGCGTGCGGAGCCTAGGGGTGCTGGGTCTGAGGGTGCTGAGTCTGGGGGTGCGGAGCCTAGGGGTGCTGAGCCTAGGGTTGCTGAGTCTGGGGGTGCGGAGCCTGAGGGTGCTGGGCCTACTCGTGTGGACTCTGGCGGTACTGGGCATGGAGAAAGTTCGGGTGCTTCGTCCCGGTGGGAGCTACCCTCTCCACAGCAGCTGCGCGAGTGGTGTGCTCGGTGCTGAAGCCGTGCTGCTCGAGCTGGTGGTGCTGCTGGAGTTGGAGCCGACCCTGGGAGTGCTGGTGCTGTCAATGCTGGTTGTGGAGGTGCTGCGCGGCCACGGTCGTACTTCGTTCCGCTCCTTGAGCAGGTTCTTGGTCTTCCGCCCTCTACTGGTCCTTCTCCTTCCTTCGAGTGTCCACTACCTGTCCAGTCCGAGTCACTGTTACAGCCCGCCTCCCCACTGCCTGCTCCTTCTCCCTACACTGGTCCTACTGGAGGTCTTGCAGAGCGTTGTGAGCCTGCATCTTGTCCTGCGTTGCCTGTTCGTGCTGCTCGCACTGGTCGGCGTGTCCCGCGTCAGCGTCCTCCTGCGGTCCCGGACACGCACCAGATGGCACTGCGTCCTTCCACTTCTCCACTGCATGTCCCTTTGCCGTCTCCTCCAGAGTCCTCTCTTCCTGCTCTTGCTGACCCGGAGTCTGACTCCCTTCGTGCTACTAGTCTTACTGTCACGCGTCTCCTGGCCACTGTTGTCACTGACCCTTCCTTTGAGTCCACTTCTGCGTCTGCCTTAGTTGCTGAGCTTGTCGACTTCGCTGCTCGCTGTCGTCTAAACTACGCTGCTAGTCTTGTTGCTGAGTCTGAGTCTGTCTGTCCTCCGTCCGTCGGGGGTGAGTGTGCTCTTAGCACGGACGTCCTTGAGGACAGGCAGGAGGAGTTCCGGTGTTTTGTTGCTGCTTTACCTCATCTCGTGTCCATGCTGATTGCCTCTGAGGGAGACCCGGATGCACCAGACATCCCGACTCCGCGCTCTTACGCATAGACGATAGAGGGTCCCTACTCCTCTCAGTGGCAGTCAGCCATGGACGCAGAGATGGCTTCCTGGAAGTCCATAGGCACCTACGTTGACGAGGTTCCCCCACCTGGGGCGAACATCGTCAGTGTCACGTGGATTTACAAGGTGAAGCGGCCGCCGGGTTCTCCGTCTGTCTTCAAGGCACGTTGCGTGGCTCGAGGCTTCAATCTGCGGCAGGGAGTTGACTACTTTCAGACCTTCTCTCCCACCCTGAAAATGACCACTCTCCGGGTACTGCTACACATAGCCGCTCAGCACGAATACGAGCTTCACTCTCTCGACTTCAGCACTGCTTTCCTACAGGGCAGCCTTCACGAGGAGATCTGGCTGTGCCGCCCATTTGGCTTCACTAGGTCGTTTCCTCTTGGTACCCAGTGGAGCCTCCGGCGGCCAGTGTATGGTCTTCGCCAGGCACCCCGTGAGTGGCTCGACACATTGAGGACTACACATGCGACTCTTGGGTTTGCTCCTTCTAGTGCCGACCTATCGCTGTTTCTACGCACCGACACCTCTTTGCCGCCGTTCTACATTCTCGTGTACGTCAACGACTTGGTCTTTGCTACAGCTAACACTGCTGGACTCGCTCACGTGAGGTCGGAGCTGCAGAAGAGACACACGTGCACAGA